GAGCCGGTGAGATTTGAACCGCTGAACTGCAGATAACAGTCAGCTGAAGTGGCCTGCAGTACTGCACCCTAACCACTGCGCCACCTTGGCTCTTTCAAGGGTATTCTATCTAAGGGCTCTGGGACCACAAACAAAGGAGTTTAAAGACCATATGCATTATGCCACTTGCTTCCTTTTTAAATAATGTTAACAGAATTTAGTTGGCGGCATCTCCGCTATTGATCTCTAGGGTTAGAAAGTTCCAACTTATAAAGTCATGTCTGCCATAACTAGAGCTGAATTTACTAAAAATTATGTCTCGTCCAGAAATAAATAACTGAATTGGTCACAAGCTACATAAATAAAACTTAATCAATGTAATAGAAAGGTATATAAAATAGATTACATTGAGATATGGCTCTTGCTTGAGCCAAAAGTAATTACTGTCAGATCTTTATTTATCAGACCACTAATAGATAGACTCAGTGGGGTAACAGACATGGCAGATGGTATTTTTGTTACCTAGAAGTTGCCTGAAATATAATTAAAGACAGCAGATGGAGCAGAATTGGAAATGGGATAATGTGCAAGGAGTATAATTTTATTTATGATGTGTATTGCCCTCTTCCTTCAACTCTGTCAACAAATTGTCCAATGTTGTTGTCTAAATCAGAGATCAATAGTTTTTCCTTTGCCAAACATCCAGGTCAGACACTAACAAGGGGAAACTTAAAGTCAACTTGAATTAGAATTGGATTAGTAAAAAAGGGGAGACAATGTCAACCAATACCCCAATCACACCACAATATGAGAGAGAGATTGGGGGTCGGGGTTATCCTCTTTGGCCAATGGATGTTAGGTTACTTTAGGTTGGATTGAACACTTTAGGTTGAACTGAACAGACTACTAGGCTGCTCCTCTTCATGGAACATCTCCTGCAGCCCACACTAAGCATATATGAGGTGCTCAGCGCCCTAGTCTTGCTACACAGCGCCCTCACCTCTGATAATGTTGCAAACTAGAGAAAGTGATATGGAGGGCCACATGTTTGAAACCACTCTGACTTAAAGCTCTTTTATATTTCTTCAGTGTTACTATTACTATTGCATGAACAGTAATCAAGAAAAAGGAAAGAAACAACTACAATGGCTACACACCTCACAAAAAAGATTCAGAGAATATATGAAAAACAGGAATGTGGAACTCATTTTTTTAATTGTAGGTGTTCAACAATTTGAAATTGTTTTCTCTGTACATATGGTTAGGCATCTTGAATTGTACAAAAGTTTATAATTTGTATTTATTTACATATATAAGCTACATCTGTTTTGCTAAGACAAGTGAGTCCATTCAAATTTTTAAAACTATTCCCATTTGTCTGACAACATATTTTCTCTATACTTTCTACGTGCTTTGTTTCAAAAGCTTATCAACCCTTTAGGTAATTGGGTTCATTATCACATTGCTCTATTAAGATTTTTTTTCCTGTTAGCCTGAGCTCTTACGATCTGTGGTTTCCTACATTGAGATCTGCTTATATCAAAATGAGGAAATCTAGCGTTTTGGTCCTACTTTATCAAAATGGGAATGCAGAAACCATGTGAGCTGTGGTTCACTAACAAATGAGCGCTCGACAAAAGCGCGCCAACAAAACCACTGGGGAAAAAACCCGCAAGTTCAAAATCGCGCCGACGAATGAGCGCAGAAGCGCGCTCTAACCCTAACCCTAACCCTAACCTTAAATATAATCATGTTTCTGTCGGCACTCTGTCAACGCGCCATTGTGGGCGCACTGTCAACATCGCGGTTTTATCGCCGCGGTTTTGTTGGGAGCGCTGTTGTCGGGAGCGCGTTTGTCAGGTCACGGTGAGCTGCTTTATTATAAATCACATTACCGATCTGTTCCCATTATTTCTATACAACTTGCTCCTGTGTTCTTTTCCTTTGGATCTGTACTTGTAGAACTAACCACAATCCCTTTATACTTCAATCATATATTTCGGTCAAAGGGCCATGGTAAGTTCTCTGCACAACTATACTTGGCCTAAGTTGTTATTTATTTAATCCATATATTCTACATCTCTTACATAAAAAAATCCGTAATACTATAAACAAGTGTTACCAGATGATATTGCATAAGCCTGCTTAACTTCAGGAAGGTCACTTGATTTTGAGTCTCAACGTAGCACACACAGCTAGATGTTCGTAGATCTACTGTCAGCTTGTAGGAAAACAAAACTCTCAAATAATTCAGCACCAGTCCAGTTATAAAAAATTGGGGGGGGGGGAGTTATCCAAATTTTTAACGTATATCTGTGTACTGAAAGAAACTAAGGAATGGGGGGAAATGTAGGACAAATAGATGGTATAAGTATATTTTATTTCTTTTCATTTTTTAAATGTTTCCTTCCCTTCCCACAAGATAAAAAATATTACAGCATCAAACTTCAGAAAAACGTTTGATATTGTTAACTGTCCCAGTTTAAGCTTCTTCTTTAAAAAATGGATTTCTTATTTTAAACAATGAAGACAGACCACAATGAATATTCTTCATTAAAACAATATTACTAATGAAATTTCTGTTCTTATGGTGAGAACAAAGATGTAAGTGATACCTCCAAAGATCAGAAGCAATCTTGAAAGTCTTATATGTATTAACTGGTGATGCCATCTGCTGGATCAAAATGTGTTTCTTCACACTTTAGAAAAAGCTGTAGAGAGGGAACCAGCCAAAATAATGCAGAATGCTATTAAGAGCAGCAGATAGTTTTTCAATCCCTGCATAGGCAATTATGGGATGGAAAAGGGGGAACAGGAAGAGAAATATTATTATTTTGTAGAAATCGAAAGTATTCATTAGTTTGACAATGAACATATAGTATTTCTGGTACAGACGTACATGCATTAGAATACATTTTATAAAATGATTAGTGGAAAGATTATTATTGCCTACTTTTTAAAAACGGCATACACATTTTAGGGCCACATTTAACGTTCTGAAGCTGCACTTCTAAAAGTAATGGGTAGAAATACGATATAAATTAAATTTTAATGAATTCCATTTACATTGAAATGAGATTAAACGTTAAGTCTCTTAATCCAATTATTTTTCAGACAGGAGCATAATTTTCCCCTCGGTCACATTCAAAATAACAACTGTCTCATTTATCAACACAAATTTTGGACTCAATTGTGGTTGTAAGTTGAGGACTACATTTAGTCACATTCTAGACAAAATGGAAGAAACAGACATGCAACCTAATTATCTAATTTGCTGCCCCCATTTATTAAAAACACACTAAATGTCATAGGAAAAGGCAAAGATACTGTGTTTAGGACAAAATTGCCTTCAATTGTTCTTCATACCTTTATTTCTTTAAATACCAGCACTCCCCAAACTGCAGCTATAAAACCAGGACCCTGGAAAACAAATTCGATGAACAGTATCTATGAATATAATGCTTATTCCTGCTTTGGTTATATTTTTATCTATGAAAACGTATTTGCTTCAGTCTTGCTTCCAGTAAAATTCAATCATTTGGTAAATGGTTGTATTTACAAAGAAAATAAGACAAAGAAAGTGGAAGAAAATACCAATTTTTGTAAAAATGATTTTGGATTACGATTATCTAAAATTTTATTATTCGTCACCGAGTATATCTTGTATCTTAAACTAGCTGTATTATGTTAGGGTTATGCTGATATTGTGTCTCAACTAAGAATGGGGAAAAAATGAATCACTAAACAGAATGGAGAGAAAAGAGAAATGCTCAGGGGGGGGAAATATATGAGATGAGTAGCATGGAAGGATGGCAGAGAGAAGATGGGATCTGCAGTTTTCTCCCTGTTTGAATCCTGAATAACAGCCTTCTTTGATTAGCATTATATTAACTAAATATTTAATGGTTTATAACTGATAAATGTGATTAGCTGTTTCTATTGTTTAATCTATATATTTCAGCAGCTGCCTTAAGACTACATTAGAAATTCCTGCAAAGCAAACAGTTGTACTAAAGTGATGATAAAATGAACATGTAGAAAATCTAGAAATGGCTTCCAGTCGCTTATAAAGCTGTCTACTTCATTGTCTCTAATCAAAGGAGTTAATTTCGCCATTTCTGCTTTAATCAATATTTAAACCCATTTTTCAACAGTCTTTTCCTGACTACTTTTATTATCACTGTTATTTTATGTATTGGTAGAATGGGTACTACCACCAAGTTTTAAAACTACTTGCATATATGTGGGGAGTGATGGACGTTCTTATTACTTCCTTCCACGTGTCACATTCTTGGAGAAGAGGTAGGAGGAAAAAAAATTAAAAGTCCTGATTATAACTGTTACACAGAGTCTCTCAAGTGCACGAGTTGTGAATGTTGATCTTTGTGAGGTCATGGGAGGACTGGGAATCTTTGACTTTCCATCTCTATAACGGCTTTGAAAACAAATAGAATTATCTGGTTGGCCTCAAAATTGAAGGAGCACTACAAACAAAAATACTACAAATGAAATCTGACATCTTCAGCTTCTTCGGCCTCTTCAGCTAGTGCTGCAGGACTGTGTTTGCAGTAGTGCCTCTTGGTTTTGTTTTATTTTATCAATTTTTAGTACTCCCATTGGATCCTTTTTTATTTAACTAATATTTTTTGGGGGGGAGATAACAGTGTAGACCATAACACAAACAAAATAAGGTGGGAACTAATAAGGCATGGGAAAAAGAAAGAAACGCCATAGCACCAGCCCAGGTGTCATGGAGTGCTGTTACCTTCCCACTGATGTGGTACCTATTTATCTACTTGCATTTGCATGGTTTTGAGCTGCCAGGTTGGCAGGAGCTGGGGAAGATTGGTAGCTCACCCCGTCACATGGCACTCATCCCGTTGCATGGCAGTGCGGTCTTGAACCTGGACTGCTGGCTTTCTAGCCAACAAGCCCAATAGGCTGAGGCTCTGCGCTGCTCCTACCCTAGGCTTAAACCACAACAGAAACAATCCAGGACCCTCCCACACTTATGTCTGCTCTAGAAATGTCAGATAGGAGAAACATGAAAAAAAATAGGAATGATCTGTCCTGCTCTCCCTATTTGGAGCTTTCTTGATTAATTCATAGATTGGAGGCAACTGTTTTGCATAAGCACAATCATTTGCATAAGCAGAGCGAGATGAAAGTCAATTTAAAATTTGAGATCAAGTAATATTCTCCCAAGGAATAACATAGCATACAATGCATTGCATAGGAAGAGTCCTTGAAAGCAGCATAAAAGAGATGCTTCAGCAAGTGTTCATCTCCCATTTATTAACCAAGAATTTCTCTTGATACTTGATACTTACAGCAGTGATTATTGGGAAGCTCACAACAGCGCTGAGATAGTGGTTTGCTATAAACCAGCAGCAATTGGCTATTGCCCATAATGTGCCAGAAATAAATCCTGACAAGAGGTAAGAAAAAAGATTACTGTAGTATTATATCCTGGACAGCTCCCGAATGCCATACTCCTTCAAGGACACATAGAGTCACGGCTCTCCCAATATCTTTGGGATTTCCTTCCTTAATTTCTTTTCCTTATTATTTATAGGAGAGAAGAAGATATTTCTGCAAATCCTGAGCTTTCTCTGTGCACCCAAATATCCTCTCTCAGATCAAGGCTATCTGGAGAAAGAATTTATTATTTATATACACAGAATTTAAGCTACATAAGACTGGAGGGCAATTTGTAATACAGTTCATGTTGAATCTTAAAGACTGTATGCAAAATATAGCACGGAATTGTGGCTTTCGTCTATTTATATGCATGATTTAGTTCTGATCCTTAAAATGGACATATTAATCTTCCAATCAAATGAAATATATTTTTTTGCTTGTTTTCTCTAATGTTTGACATTAGAACATGCAAAGAATCGATATTTCTGGAGCCGTAGCTCCAGCAGACTGAGCTAAAGGGATTTATTTTTCTACTTATTTTATGGTTTTTCTTTATGAATTCTGAACAAACACACTACATTAAATTAATATTCAATTAAGAATCATGGTATTTGATCTCAAAAGGCACTAATATCAAGCCCAGAACAGCAGGCATCATTAAAAGGTACTTACTGACAAGATACATATTCCAAATAGTTTATAAATTTGAATAAGGTCTTTGCTTTTGCTTGAAAATTATACCTGGTATTATGGCTGCAGGATAAACCTTAGGGTTATTTTTCATTGCTGCACAATAGATCAGAAAGTAGATAGTACTTGTAAGGAAGATGCCACTGAAGTGGGCAAATACATAGTCTACATCTGAAATAAATATAAAAAGATATACAATATATAAATATATATATATTTAAGACATATGTTCAAGAAGTTCACCGATGTTATTCATTGATTTGAATAATTTAAATGATTTAAATGATTTAAGTAAGAATGATCTTACTTAGGCAAGATCCCATGTTGCAATCATTCATAGTTTATTAACTGGGAGATTTTTGTTCTAATTAATCAACATTTGCATATATCTATCAAAAATAAGCCACCTAAATAGAAGACCCATAAAAGTTGGGAGTACCCTGGGCCACAAGACTTATAGTACCTGTGCTCTTTGAGTAAAAATAATGTCTTATTCCTATTATTACATATATGTACCCCCCGCCCAACAGTCCCCCTTTTTAATTTTTCTTTTACATTTTAAAAAAGTTTTTAAAAATACTGTAATATTTTTATACAGTATTTTGTACAATGCATTCATACACTGAAACTATTTTATTCTTAAAATTATATCTTAAAATTGCTGCCCGAGAGTGTTTATTTCTTTTGCTGAGGATGAGTAGTAGTACTTGCAAACATTACTGTTTCAGAGAGTGTGTGATTTTCACTAGATAAAAAAAAGGCTACTGTCTATTTGGCACAGGATGGTGGATCATTCTCTCCTCCTGCTAGACTAACAAGGTTTTAAGGACAGAAAAGGCAATGGAATGGGAAGAAATCCATTGTGATCTGAAATAGAGATTGCCCAAAGTGCTAAGGAGAGGGCAAGTCTCAAGATTTTGGAGCCCCAATTCCTGATCATGTTAGTCTTCCCCTGAGATCCACAAAACAAGCAACACAAACACACATACAATGCTTAAAGAGAACACTAAACGTGTGGCCTTCACTATCCTTACTTTCACTAGCCATACTTTTTTGTATGCAAGGTTGTAAAATATATACTTAATGCAGAATCTACAATAAAAAGTTTCATTTTCCCACAATTTGGGATGCTTTTTGATGTAATGTGTACAATTTACAGATGGCTTTTTACTTATAAAGTACATTTTTCGTGGTCTGTTTCCACAATCTAGTTCTGTGATGGCAAATCACAGGTGGCCCGCGGAGCCATTTGTCAGGGCATGCGAGGTGTTGCGCTGTCAGCTGGCCAGCACGCATGTGCACACTGGCCAGCTGACTTTGACCTTCTTTTGAGGCCGTTTTTCACCCTCCAGAGGCTTCCCTGAAGCCTCCAAAGCGCAAAAAACCAGCCCTGCAGGCAAACAGGAAGTTAGGGAATGGTTTGCTTGTAGGACCGTTTTCACCCTCTGGAACCTTCAGGAGGCTTCCCTGAAGGCTCTGGAGGGAGAAAAATGGCCCTACAGATAAACCGGAAGTCTCTTCTGGTTTGCTCATAGGGCTGGTTTTGCCCTCCAGAGCCTTCAGGGAAGCCTCCTGAAGGCCCCTGAAGGCTCCGGAGGTCAAAAATTGGCCATATGGGGAATCCAGAAGTTTGGGAATGGTGACTTCCAGTTTGTCCATAGATCTGTTTTTTGCCCTCCGGAGCTTTCAGGGAAGCCTCCTGAAGGCTCTGGAGGTCGAAAATCGGCCCTACAGACAAACTGGAAGTCACCATTCCCAAACCTCCAGATTCCCCATAGGTCCGTTTTTTGCCCTCCTCCGGAGGCTTCAGGGCATCCGGGTGGGGCGGGATGCTGTTTTCACCCTCCCCAGGCTCCTAGAAAGCCTCTGGAGCCTGGGGAAGGTGAAAAAAACACAGCAAAAGCTGTGATCGTCCGCATGCGAACTGGGGGGGGGGGAGTCACGTGCATAGCATTATGGGTGTGGCACGCCAGCGCATAACTCCCCTGTACTCCCCCTGCTTTTGGAACATCAGCCAAAAAAGGTTTGCCATCACTGGTCTAGTTATTTGGAGTTGCTTGGCTTGAGGAGAACCTCAGTAAATAGCAAGGGCAATCTCTTGCTCTGTTTTAATGTCATCATTAAAGCGTATAACAATAGCATAGTATTATATGATATTTTACTTAAATCAGCATATTTTCTTAACCTGTATTTATCAATAAATAAATATAATAAATAACACAATACATTTAGGATCAAGCCAAATGATATGTATTTATTTTTCTAAAGCAAACAATTGATTTTAGGACAAAAAAAATCAGCTAAATATATCTGAAATCTACTTCTGAGCAAAGTAGCATGAGAAATGTAAAAGGAAACATGTAAACCAGGGGTGGGTTTCAACCGGTTCGCGGCGGTCCCCGCGAACCGGTTGA